ACGGACAATAAACAAACACACAGATGTAAGTATCAATTTGTGATGAATGTTATGAAGAAAATAGAGCAGGGTGAAAGGGGATAAAGTGTTGGAGCAGAGGTGCTATTTCACATATGATTAGGAGTGATCTCTATCTCCAGGCCCTGCCAACTCCTCCCTGCTATTTCTCCAGGAGTCTTAAGCTCATTTGTATATTAAGATTTTTGCAAATAATGTTTCCTCTGTCTGGACCTACTTCTTCTTAACTCCTTTTTGCCTAGTTACCTCTTATCATCCTTCAGATCTCAGCCCCAAGTCACTTCCCCAAGGAAGTCTTTTCTGGCCCTCCAAAATAGATCAAGTTTAGGTTCCCACTTCACCACAGCACCAAGCTTCCTCATTGCACTGATCAGCACAATTATAATGACATGCGTATTGAACAGTCTGCCTTTGTCCTCTCCATATGCTCTAAGAAAGCAAAGGCTGCATCTCATTTACCGTTGAAGCCTTAGAATCTTGTAGTGTGAAGAGTAGGTACCCAACAAATAACTGTTGCATGATAACTTTGAATACACCAGGATGTTCAAGTAAGCATGGAAGGCCCCTTTCTCAAGCCTATTTAGAAAACACTGCTTAATCTTACAGGCCATCTAAGTAATTTTGGAAATTTTTTACATAGAAAGATTAATCAACATAATTTGGTTTCATTTGGTTATGAACATCAATACTAACTTACAATGTCACTATCCTCCTTCCATTTTAACAATGTTCACTATTGTTGGACACGTATGCTGATTGAACTACAATTTAAAATGAATAACCTTTTATTTGTAAAAGACCGAGTCATGAATAGGCAGAATCAACCCATGCTTTTATTTTCATTGCATATAAAAATCTCATATGAAGGTATTGATGTACAGTACTATCCTCATGGGCTGTAGGAGAGGCTAAGAAACCACTAAAACAATCATCATTTGTAATGCTCACACACAATTTACCACTCTGAAAACATATCCAAAAAAATAAAAACAACTAAAATCAGTAAGGATTTTTTTGTAATTATAGTGTCCCATTTATACTGTTTAAAACAAAAGTAATCGATTTCCTTTGGGCCAGGGCTGCTAAAATCTACAGTTTGTGTCAAAAATAATAATAAAACAAAATAATAAGAGGCTCATTTTTCCTAGAAAAGAATCTCTCCTTTCACTAAGTCACATGTTCCAGGGGCTGGGCTGCAGTGGGAGAAGGTTTCCACATTTTCCACTAGGAACTTTTCATTGCTTTCAGGAGCTGGCCATTGTACAAGGTTAAATTAAAATATTCTAAAGTGATGCAAGATTTGCAAAAACAAACTCTAGTGACTGGTGAATCCTTTATGCTATATAAACTGGCATTATACACAACTTTGTGTTTAAATAGATGGGTTTACCTACATATAGGAAAATTTGGTTGAACTTAGTTGAAAACAGATGCAAGATTTGCAAAAACAAACTCTAGTGACTGGTGAATCCTTTATGCTATATAAACTGGTATTATACACAACTTTGTGTTTAAATAGATGGGTTTACCTACATATAGGAAAATTTGGTTGAACTTAGTTGAAAACATTTTAGTTAAAAAAATGACCTATGTATATTTTCTTAACATGACAGGAAGCTGATGAGCTGAAGACTAACCAACAAGAGTGACCTATGGCCCCAGTTTCAAATAAAGTTCCTTTTCTTAAGAGCTCTAGAAGCTAACATGACTTTTTATAATCCTTGGGCAAAAATGTATTTCCCCAGTAATGTCTGAAAGTAAGAACAATCAAATGTAATTAGCTGAAATAGCTCCTGATCAACAGATGGTAAACAATCGTTATACATGTGGTGCTGCCCTATGGCAAATACTTAAGAGCTGGTACCTCAAAAGGTTCTCAGAATCATCCAGAGGTTGTCTGTAGTTTTGTGAAATCCAGCTACTGCCAGAAGTCCAATCAATTAAAAGCCTGGTTGTGAAATGCCCCGCCCTAGCTCCACCATCACTGTACTTTCAAATGCAGCAAAACAGAAGAAAATATTGGTTAAAGTTAAGGCACAGCCCTGGGACCAAAGACCTGCAGCTATGTTTTTTAAATTTATATATTTTTATGTATTTTATAGTCTTCTAGAATCTTTCATAAACAAGCTCTAAGGTGACAAGACTATATTACAGGAGAAAATAAAAATGTACAAGGAGTATGTATACACACCATTCATTCTCTCACCAAGAGTTTCCAAATATATCAACACCATCCCATCTTGGGATGATGTTTTAATAAGAACTGATAATTTACAATTAACATTACAGTATGTACATTGCAATAAATACATGGTTGTAAACAGACAAACAAGACTGTATTACAGGTAAGGTCATTTGGTGAGAAAAAATGCATGGCACAAAAAATAAATAATGCATTCAAAAATTATCATAAAGCTTTCTGTAAATTCCATTTCATTCAAGTTTTTCCTTTCCTTGTCTGAAATTTGTTCTATCTACATTATTTTTTTGTGAATTTTAACTGAAGTAAAAGAAACCAAAATTAAAACAGCATTAATGTGTTCAGTAACTTGCAAGCTGAAATGTATTGGTTTTATGCAAACTTGGACATTTTTTCCCCATACAGTACCCAGATATTGCATTTTCTTATGGCATTTAGGAAATGTAAAGCCACTTGTAAAAGGATGTTCTTTTTAAAGCAGTGTATATTTCTGAAGCACACTTTGGAGGGAGAAGAGGACAGAAAGAGAGAAGGGAAAGGGTAAGCAGACTGTACACTGCATTAGTCCCTGTCTCTTGGATACTATGCCTTTTCTACAATTTGATTGTCCATTGGTGGGTATCTTTACAACGTGGTACCATTAAAAGTCAACAAACTGGGGGGAAAAAAAGCCTGTCTTTATTAGTGCAGTTATAAATCCTTTTAGGTCTGGATTTGTTAGTGACATCATATTGCTGCTTTTTAATTTTTTTCATTATTAAGAGTCTAGGCACCCTGCGGGGGAAATACCAAGTATAGGAAGGGGAGGGAATGAGAATGTTTTGGAAAGGGAAATAAACTTTAGACTCTTTGCCTTTCCTTTTAGACCTCCCTCAGGGACAAATAAAATCAAAAGAGAAACAAGTTACCAAATGTTCTTGTGAAACCACTTTGTCAAACATATGTCTTCATTTCAAAGATTACTGTCTATTTGATCTTTACAGGGGAAAGAAGGCGGAAACCTGATTCCTAGTCTGCCCTATGTGAAAGATCAGAGCTATAGACAATTTTTCTATCAAAGGTTCTGAGCATTGGTAGGATCTCAGGGGTTTAAAATGAGGACTACGTTCAGCTTGGGTATTTTTCCCTGGTGATGACTTAATTACTAGTTCCCAAAAGGCTCCTTCAGAAGTTCCAAATATAAGTGTTTTGGGGGCTTGCAATTTTTCTTAACTGTTTTATTTTTCATTTAGACTATCTGCTTTAGTCTCTGTCTCAATTCTTGGATATTGATGCAAAACATGATTATTTGGGCTCTAAACTTTTCACAGAGAAGATATATGCTTTATTAAGAACTGACATGGGAAGAAAATCCAAACTAATAAATGCCCCATAAAGCCAATTGCTATCAGCAAATAAGCACTGGGAACTGATGGGCTTTAAAACTGCAATACAGTTGCTGGTGCTGAAATCAGCCAAGAGTGTTCTCTAATTTTTCATTTAGGCAGAATGGTTTTACCAATCCGCTATTCTAGAATATTTTAGGATGCATCACATTACCAACGCTCTGGTGCCAGTGAATCACCAACTTCTCTCCTCACTATGTTTAAGGAAGCAGTTCCCCTCTACAAGACATGCTCATGGACTGATGACAAGTGATAAAGCATTTCCTACATGTTACATGGCTGTTCATCAAGAAAGGGTAGATGCTACACTTAAAACCACTTCTCAGGGTTATTCCTCATATAGTTCTTAGTTCTATGGTGAAATCATAGAAACATAAGAGAATTAATTGTATTGGTGTTTGCTAATATATTCTTCTAATATTCTTAAAAATTGCCTAGCTAGCTGTTAACTTTTCTCTGTAAACCAAGAGTAAAAGATAGTGATGATATACAACCTTGTGGTAGAAATGAACACTAACTCTAACTTGACTGTTTCTTTTCATTAATCAGAATGGTGGTGATAGGGCCGAGCCCGTGGTGCACTCGGGAGAGTGTGGTGCTGGGAGCGCAGCAGCGCTCCCGCTGCAGGTTCGGATCCTATATAGGGATGACCGGTGCGCTCACAGCACTCACTGGCTGAGCATGGTGCGGCCGGTCTTGAAAAGGACAAAAAAAGAAAGGATGGTGGTGATATATTTGATAAGACCCCATCTAGCCAACATGGACAGAGGTTGAAGCGCACATTAAATCATAAAGCAGCAAAGGGAAAAAATACTTTTCTTACTATAACTGGCTGTAAAAACAATAAAAATGAGCATGAAATATGTGTGGGTTATTACAAAGACATGCTCTGTGAAATGCACTTCTATTGACACAGCAAAAAGTTATCAGAAGACATTAAGTAGGAAAATACCTAAAAAAGACTGACCATTTTAGCTACTGGGTAAGTATACATCTCCCACTTGCTTCAGACAACACCAACTGATGACTGAGTTTCCATGAGGCTTAAAACACTTTTGACATAACACACATCAAAGTATTACAAAACAAACACTCACTTTGCACGCTATGAAGAAAAATGGTGTAGAGCACGCCGCTTATCTGGTAAGACTGAAACAAAAAGCAAAGTAAACGAAGACTTACAAAAAGGGTTTCCTGCAACATAAAGTTGTTTTTCTGTTTTAAAATATGGAAGTCATTGGTATATAAAACAACGAATCACTACAAATCGGTTAATTGCTATGAATTATAAGGTGCAAGTAAAATTCATAAGTTAGATTTATCCAGTGTAGCACAGATCTGTACTGAAAACTTGCAAGTTACTCTTAGAAAAAAATAACTAGTGGCAGATGAAGTTCTGAACATAGTTTTTTTAAATATAATACCTCAATACATTTAATAATAAAAGTAAAGCTCTACAAAAAGTCTGTGTTACATATCATACAAAATGTAGAGATCAGTGCAGCTCACTGAACCACACTATTCAGTCATGTATCAGGAAGACTTGAAATTAGAAAATTATGCAACTTCTGTGGCTCATCCTCCTCCTGGTAACAGATTCATGCTGTGTCCTGTTCTTGACATATTTGTTATTTCATCTGTTAAGTTCACTCTGTTGTAGTGCCTTCTTTCTTCTGAAAATATTGCAAACAAATAAGAAAAAAAGTAACCCCCAATCAACTTTTGGGTTGCCAGATGAGCCACTGTCTCTTGAAAACATTTTGGAGTTGATTTTATCTGCTTTGTCAGCTCTACAAGATGAAATCTTGTTAAAATGCTGTGCATGAAGATGTCCACCTTGCTCTGATGACATGGAGGTGAAAAAACTGGTTACGATATTCCTGAGCGCCAGACTGAGTAGTCAAGGACAGTTTTGTTCAACAAACGTCCTGGCAAATGACAGTGAGGTGTGACCATGGTTGTGGCATGTGACATGCACTTTGGAAACAATTTTTCTACTTAAAAAAAAAAAAAAAAGGCATGAAAGTCTTTGCACTGTTACGTGTCAGGAGAATCATCATCTATTGCACAAGCTTCGGGCTGGCTTTCCTCCTCTTCCCCAACTGCCTCCTCTTCAACCTGTTCATCAAGGGGAATTTCGGTAGACTCCGAGTCTTGGGTACAAAGAGTCTTGGAGTCACTGCAGCTAGTGTCTTCTTCCACTTGACTTCCACTGTCCTTTTCAGTGTCTGACTCACCATCTTCCTCTAAAGTTAGTTCGAACTGGAATTTCTCGGTTTGACCCTGCCGGCCCTCCTCTTGGTCATCAGGTGCAGGAGAGGGGCTCTGAGGGATTGTGCTCTGGTACCACTCACGATTGTCCTCCAAAGTGTCCAAAATGTCCTGGGCATCAGGATGTACAAGGTCTGCCCACGTCTCCCAGAGAGGATGAACGATATAGTCTATGAAGCCCACCTGGTTAAAAAAGAAAATCCAAAATGAGTAGAGGAGTTGAGACTAAGAAACAATGGAAACGGTTACCTAGATCATGGCCTACAATTAGAACATTAAACAGAAAGAAGACTACTAACCTTAGTTTGATAAAATACTAGTCACTATTTTAGACAACAGATCATATAAAAATGTTGTTAGTAGGTGGTGAAAATTAGCTTCTAGAACCCTTAGTTCAAGCGTAAAATTTTTTCTAGTTGTATATCTGCTAGGGTTTGAGGTCTGGACTTTATTTTAGAATAGCCAATTTGCAGATGAATCCAGATAACTGAAAGAATGTCATGCACTATATGTATATGAATATACTCTATGAATACAGTCATAAGAATGTATATATGGCCATATGAATGTTAAGTTGTAAGAATGAAAATTTTTTGGATCATAAACACTAAGGTGAAAATGAGCTGGTCAAAAAAAAATAAATTAAAAATCCAATAAAATACTGCAAGATATGAATACAAAGTAACCAAATGCTAAAGTTGCAGCTGTGTTCTCTCTCTGAAAGCTTTATGCTTCCCGCATTACCTGTGATTTTTCCACAGATGCATTGTGCTTGTCACACATGGGACTTATCTCCATGCCTCTCTCTCTCTCTCGGTCTCCCTGGCGGAAGAACTCTTCCATTATTCGGTCCGTCCACTGGCGATACAGCTGAAGAGGCTTTGTTGGGTTGCTGAGATCTGCACAATGCACCATATTCTGAAGGACCTAAAATAGAAGAATGCATTCTCCATTCAGCACCTGCTCCTTTTTTTTAAAACTAGAAATTCACATTGGATGAGTGTGACACTTAAAAATACATGTAGTGTAAGATTTATTCCAAACAGCTCAACCACGATGTGTCTGTATATGGTTCACACTTGTATTAATAGTCCCAAATTATGCCACTTCTACCACATCTAAATATCATAAGAGAAACTGTTTATTTATATGCATGGTTGATTAAATTCAGAGCTGCTTATGTGGTTGTTTTTGTGGGGTGTTAGGTTTTGGCTTTGAAATGTATATGAAAATGAAAAGACCAACAGGATTTTACGTGCTTATTTTGCAGGAATAAGAATTTGGATAAAAATCCTGACTATAACTACCAAAGTATAAGGTGGAAGAAAGGCAAAATAAATCTTATGAAAGCTGGATACACAGACACATGTGCGCGTGTACACACACAGAGCAAACTCAAATAATGCTTTACCTGAATCCTATCGGAATAATTATCAAGAAGGAGAACTCCAGAACTTGTCACTTTCTTAGTTTCAACCATAGTTTTCAAATCAGCCAGCAGATTCATGTGTTTCGACATGTCTGTTGCAAGTACCTTAAAAGACAGAGTATTTTCTTAAGTAAAGTCCAGAGGAAAAAGTCAGAATTTGTGCATGAACATATTACGCAGAATGTGAGAAAAAAAACCACTATGCCATCTAATAGCAGTTTGTGAAAGTTCTTTACTCCTACTTGGGGCAGAGTCTTTTCCTCTTTACATAAAGTTTTCTGGAAGCCCAGAGTAACATGTACAATATACAGAAGCATTAGGCACTGATAACCACTTTTATTGTAAAATAGGGGACTATATATCTCTGTGGATAAAGACATCATCACATGTTTTGAAGATTTTTCCATTTCTTGGACTAGAAAGTGGTGACTTGACTAAGATGAACTGTTTCGGAAACAGAATATTCTGGTTAATTTTCTCATCCAAGACAGATAATTACAATGCTTAACAGATTAAGTTTTCGATAACCAGAGATTTTCCTGTATTTCACAATCATTCTGAATGACATACATAGAGAAAAAAGTAAAGTCATGGATGTTTTTAAATGGCACTGTCTACTGATAGAAAAGGTGAAAAAAAAACCATTCAAGCTGCAACCCAAGCCCTCTGTTTTTATTAATCATCTTTCTCTGCGTGCCACCAGAATAGGGGAGCTCAGAAAATAACAGCTGAACGATGAGGGTGCACTGTCATTATTCCTAAGTCCAAGCTGCTAGAAGTGAAAAACCTATTATAGAACATTACTGCCAGCAGCAGGGGCAGCTTTAGAACATAAAAGGCAACAACAGGTTTGAAATACAGTTTCTTTTACCTGATACTCATCTCACTATTACATTTTTTAAAAAAACAGTTTGCATCACTGTTCTCTTTTTGGCTTTTATCAGCTACTTACAATGTCAATGACCATTTTCCTCAATGACTGCCTTTGCTTTTTGGTCAAATTCTGGAAAATGTCACAGTTTTCCTCCTGAAGCAACTTAAAGCCCACAGCCAAATGATGGTTCTCTAAGACAGAGGAATCATTGTACATCAAGGCAAGTTCAGAATCTGAAAGGAAGATAAGAGGCATAAGATCAGCAAAGGTGTTTATTAGAAGTTTATCTTATTCTTCAAATTCTAAGAGACTCTGGGTTTAGAATGCAATTTCCCCTTCACTTCTCTGCTGCCCTTACCATTCATTACATGACAATATCCAGGAGAGAATGTATTAGATAACACAAGACCAGAAAGAATACGGGAAGCGTGAGAGCGAGTTCTAATGCTCCTGACATGTGGTAGGTCATTTCACTCTGTAGGCCTCAGCTTCCTCTTTTCTAAAGGGAAAGAAGAATTGGACCAGATGATCTTTAACCTCTCCTCTAGATCTGCCATAAGCTGAGGAGAATATGACATTAGTCTTAACATCTGCAACATGTCCAGACCATAAGGTGTTGTGTTCCTGATAACTGTGCATTACCTACACTACAATTTATATAATGTGAGAATCATGTGATGTAGGACCGTTTGTACTCAGAAAGGGTACAAGAACAGTTTGGAGCATATAAATAAATTAGATTTGATAATGCTGTTCTTATTTTCTTCCACAGAATAATTCTGAATGTCTAAGCATTATTCATTTTTTTCCATTTTCTTTTCTAATATCGTGGCAGTCACCATGTACGTGTGTATTGTCCTCCTTACTGGTTTGCTCATGGCTCTGCACAGTGACACTGCATGTAGCTGTCTATATACCCCATAATGAAGACCCCAGCTCTCTCACTACTGTCCTGGACCTGTGTATTTTCAGCCAGGGAGAGATTCTGTCTCAACCCTAGTTCCTATAAAATGCAGACCCAAATCTATAAGGTAGTCATTAAAAAAAAAAACTGACTAGGGCCGGCCTGTGGCTCACTTGGGAGAGTGCGGTGCTGGTAACACCAAGGCCATGGGTTCAGATCCTATATAGATAGGGATGGCTGGTTTGCTCACTTGGGAGAGCGTGGTGCTGACAACACCAAGTCAAGAGTTAAGATCCCCTTACCGGTCATCTTAAAAAAAAAAACAAAAAAAAAACTGGTGCTTTATTCTGTTTCCAGTTAAGTCACTTTCAAAACTAAAAGCACATGGATTTGATCTTTTTTCTGACTAATGCATGAAAATATATTTAGAAATATATATCCTTTTCTTTTTTTTTTTGTCTTTTTCGTGACCGGTAAGGGGATCGCAACCCTTGGTGTGGTGTCGCCCGCACTGTGCTCAGCCAGTGAGCGCACCAGCCAGTCCTATATAGGATCCGAACCCGCAGTGGGAGCATCGCTGTGCTCCCAGTGCTGCACTCTCCCGAGTGCGCCACGGGGCTGGCCCGAAATATATATCCTTTTCTAAGAAAGAAATACCCAACACTATTCAATGACTATTTCAAAGGAACTAGGGAGAAGAGAGGCTCAGAACATATCTCAACTAGGAAATAGGACAGTTTTATCAGAACTATAGAAATAGAAATTTTCATATCTAGATTTTTGCTCCCAAACTACAAGAACAGATGTCTAGAGTAGTAGAGACTGTATATGCAAGGTATTATTGTATTTATGTTTTTGACAAAGCAAAAGTGTTAATCTTTAAAAAGGAAGTACCTGGTTAAGTCTTATTTACAGTCTATAAAAGCCTCTAACTGTGAACCATTATCTGTAGATGGTTAAGCATATAGAAATAAAAAAGTTTAAAACTATTTAGAATATTAGCACATGATATTATTATGTTTCTCGAGTAGAAACATATATTGAAAGGAAAGCATAATGTTTTCTAACTGCAGAAATGATATGTATGTAGATAAGTGGTGTTAACAGAATTGACTTGGCCTTATAAAAACCCTGTTGGCTTATATGCCCTCTGAAGAAAGGTGAAAGAAATTAAGCCTATTGAGACTGCAGAAGAACAAAATGATGAGCTGCTACTTCAATGAAGAGGGTGAGCTCTAGTACAGAAGTTGCAACAAAGGGTCCGAGCTCTACTCAACCTAACCTTTCACGTGGGACAGATGTCCAAGAGCACTGGCTAGCTTGCCTTGGAAAATGGTTCTCTCCTGACACTTAAGAGTCCAGATGAGTCAGAAAGGCCATGAAACCATTCCTTATTAGACTGGTGGGCCGCTATAGCCCATTCAATCTCTGAGGCTGTAATGGGAAAGTGGTGGCTACTGTTTATTTTAAGTTTTTTTAACGAATGAATGTTGGCATTTAAGAAACTGAATCTCAGGATAGTCACTTAACTTTCTACTTTTCCTTATGACTGAAGGCACGCAGACACATCTCTAAAGGAAGAGGTAAACGTCAACTCACAGGTTCAGATCCCCATCCTGGCCAGCCGCCAAAAAAAAATAAAAATAAAAAAATAAAGGAAGAAGTTGGATTCTACAGCTCCTCAGGAGATTTTCACCAAAGATGGTAAATCCAGGACTTTTAAGTAGAGTCCTTGAAGGTTCAGGAATAATCATCAGAAAGTTGCCTTCCTACTTTGGTATAACTCACGGCACAGAGGGACAGAAAAGCTAGCTAACATTTTCTTGAAACTGTCTCATCAGCAAAAGTCCAGTTCAAGTCACCTCTTTCATGAAGCCTTTCTTGATTACCACAGACAGAACTGCTCACTATCTCCTGTGAACTCCTATACGGCTACGTACCACTCACTTGGCATTTATCAGATTCCACCTTATTTGTCTTTATCTCTGTACAAATCTTTTAATAGTCCTTCTCAAACCCTACTAATCTACATAGAGACTGAAGCCCTTCTATAGAATTAAAGGTTATTAACTTAGTATACTTGGTTGTCTGGTTTCTCCTGGGTACGTCAATTCTTCCTAACCTTACGAAGCATATAGAGGAACAGAAAATAATAAGCACATAACATTTAGAGGATTTAAGTGCCAGGCATTGTACTAAGTGGTTTATATGGATTATCTTATTTAATCCTCATAGCAACTCTCTGAGGAAGAAACTATTGTTATTAGCATTTACAAATGAAAGAACATGAATTTTAGGGAAGGTAAGTAACTTTGCCAATATAACATAGCTGGTAAGTACTGGGGCCAGAACTTCAAAATGGACAGTCTCACTCCTGTGTTCATTACAGCACTACTCACAATAGCCAAGACATGGCATCAACCTAAGTGTCAATCAACGATGAATGGATAAAACAAATGTGGTATATACACACAATGAAATACTATGCAGCCATAAAAAAGACTGCAATCCTGTCATTCACAGCAACATGGGTCAGCCTGGAGGACACTGTGTTAAGTGAAATAAGCCAAACACAGGAAGAGAGAAACACCGCATGTTCTCACTCATATGTGAAAACTAAAAAAGTTGATCTCATAGAAGTAGAGAGTAGAATAGTGGTTTTACTAGAGGCTGGGAAGGGTAGAGGGGGAATACAAAATTACAGCTAGATAGAAGGAGTAAGTTCTAGGGTTCTACAGCACTGTAGGATGACTACAGTGAACAGCAAGCTATTGTATAATTTCTAATAGTTAGAAGAGAGGATTTTGAATGTTCCCAACACAAAGAAATGACAAATATTTGAGGTGATGGATATGATAATTACCCTGATTTGATCTCTATACATTGTATACATGTCCCCAAATATCACACTGTGCCCCATAAATATATACAATTATCATGGGTCAAATAAGAACAATTTAAAAAAACAAACAAACACAGGCAGTCTCTAGAGCCCTTACCTTATCTTACCTATTATTACAAATGCTTTAAAAATATTGAGCAGTGAACATTAAAAGGGAACCAGGAAATGACAAACACAATCCACTCATTGCCCGGCACACACTAATAACTACATAAGCATTCACTATTTTATTGAGAGACTGTGCATATCTTTGCAAACCCAAAGCCACCATTTTATTTCATATAGACCAATTATGCTCATTTGTAATAATTACCCCGGATCACCAAGAATAAATTATGCTCAACATATGCTACTAATGAAGGCAGGAAGACTACCTCTATTTACGTGTTCCTCTCTTCTGAGTTCTTATGGAATGAGGAGTGTAGGACGAGCGAGTACCACCACATAACTGAGAACATGTACTTCATCTGTGTTAATCTTCTCTCCCTCTGTATTAGTCAGGGTTCTCCAGAGAAACAGAACCAAGAGGATGTATGTGTGTGTGTGTGAGAGAGCAAGGTACATAGATTTATTTATTTATTATAGAAATTGGGTCAGATAATTACGGAGGCCAAGTCATCTGTGTTAATCTTCTCTCCCTCTGTATTAGTCAGGGTTCTCCAGAGAAACAGAACCAATAGGATGTATGTGTGTGTGAGAGAGAGAGCAAGGTACATAGATTTATTTATTTATTATAGAAATTGGGTCAGATAATTACGGAGGCCAAAAAATCCCACGTCTACAAGGCAGAGAATCAGAAAAGCCAGTGGTGTAATTCAGTCCCAGTCTAAAGGCCCAAGAATGAGGTAGGGAAGATAATGTTGTAAGTCCTGGTCTAAGTCCAAAGGCCCAGGAACCAGCAGTCCTGATGTCCAAGGGCAGAACATGGATGTCCTAGCTCAAAAAGAGAAAGCAAACTTGCCCTTCTTCTAACTTTTTATTTTATTCAGGCCCTCACTGGTGAGGGCAATCTTCCTTACTCAGTCTACTGATTCAAATGCTAATCTCTTCCAAAAACACCCTCACAGACACACCCCGAAATAATGTTTTACCAGCTCTCTGGACATTCCTTAGTCCAGTCAAGATGAAATATAAAGTGAGTCATTACACAGCCCTCCCCTTATTAACTTAACACCCATATGCATATGCTTAAACCATATTTAATCTCCAAATAAAAACAATGACAAGGTCATATTCCACCTAACATGATAAAACTATCCTGCCTACAACCAAAAACACTAATCCCTACCCCCTTCAAGAGGAGGTAAAGTCTTTTACTCTTTTCTTGATATCCCATAACTTAAATACTATGGTGTAAAATCTACAATATTTAAATACTGATATAAAGTCAATACTTATGTTATACGATAAGTGAATAAGAAAGGAAA